CTCACCCAAGACCTCATGGATTTGAACCAAATCTAGCTGACCCTCATACTTGAGTATTTAATTATCAATAGTACCATACAATAATCATGCTATAATACTATATAATGTAATACAATAATACTATATTATATTACTATAGTCTATCAAATAGTATAACACATATATGGTGTATATTACTATATTATTATAGCATATTGTATATCACTATACTAGTATCTGTATACTATTATATAATACCATTAGTACTACCTATAATGCATATAATATTACTAATATAATATATAGTATTATTATATAGTAATATAACAATACAATAATAGTATAATAATACTGCATTACAAGATACATGGTTAATAGTAATACTTAACATTGCATACACATATTGTCAAGGAGGAGATATTTATCCTATACGATTCTACATCATAACAACAAAATATGTTTAGTATTTTCCCGATTTTTCACAAGTAATTATAAATGATTGCCCTTTAAACTATTTCAAGCGTATACTTGCATTATTTTTAACAAACTGTAGTGCCACCCCCTTTAAAAAATGAATTAGGGAGAAAATAGCTTTTGTGATATACAATATGCTATAATAATATAGTAATATACACTATATATGTGTTATACTATTTGTTATACTATAGTATTATAATATGGTATTATTGTATTACATTGTATAGTATAGCATGATTATTGTATGGTACTATTGATAATTAAATACTCAAGTATGAGGGTCAGCTAGATTTGGTTCAAATCCATGAGGTCTTGGGTGAGCTATTTAACCAAAGTCTTACTTTCATATATGCAAGATTTCAGGGGCGCCTGGGTGGCTCAGTTGGTCAAGCATCTGTCTTCTGCTCAGGTCATGATCCCTGGGCCCTGGGATCCAGCCCCAAGCTCAGCAGGGAGTCTGCTTCTCCCACTCGCTCTGCCCCTCCCCTTGCTTGTGCTCTCTCTCACTTACTCTCTCAAAAAAATAAAAAACTTTAAAAAAAAAAAGCCCCAAGATTCCAGTAATTTATTTTTTTGTCTAGGATGGGTTTTTAAAAATATTTTTTGGGGCATTTGGGTGGCTCAGTTGGTTAAGCGTCTACCTTTGGCTCAGGTCATGAACCCTGGGGTTCTGGGAAATGATCTGGGGTCCTGGAATTGAGCCCTGCATGGGGCTCCCTGCTCAGTGGGGAGCCTGCTTCTCCCTCTCCCTCTGCCCCTCCCCCTGCTCATGCTCTCTCTCACTCTCTCTCTCTCTCTAAAATAAATAAAATTTTAAAAAATATTTTTCTTGAATATGAATTTTAAAAAATTAACTTGTTAACATATTGAATTTAAGTAAATGTAACCTGTCTTAGGTCTTTTTATGGTCATGTAAATTGAAAATTGCAATGCGCTGTTCAGATTGGGCTCCATTTACAATTTCTGGAAACTCACTGAAATAACCTCCTCACAGAATATAATGATCAGCTTCTGTTTTGGATAGACACTCAATTAACTGATTTCCTATTTTCACTTTTTAACAAGTTGTGACATTTGAAGATAAATGTCTAGTCTTTTACCGTTACTGAAGAGCCCTTTGGTTTACTCAAGTGTATGTATGGGGGGGGATGCTCAACTTTTAAAAACTTTTGTCATTTTTGTTTCAACTATGACTAAGATGTAAGTCTTTGGTGAGTAACTGGCAACTCCTACCTGTTTACTCCCTCCCCTTCACCAGGGGTAATGAGGACATCAAGAGTTTTAGTGTTTAAAATATATTATTCTTTGTATTCACCTCATCATTAAAACAGAACAAAAATCACTTCTGGCAGATCAATATGACAAATGAGTAAACCAGAAGATGGCGTTGAAGATTAGCAATCACATTTTAAAGCAAGGTAGATGTGAAGTCTCAGAAAGTTTCATACAATGACTGTTGTTTTGCACTTCTAAAAGTAGATAAGTGAAGAAAATGTTGAAACTAACTAAACCTGGTGCAGAAGACACTGGGAGGAAAGGCAAAAAGCTCATTTGCCATTTTTGTTCTTAGCAATCTCTTTCTGTTTGTTGAGAACACTTTGGGGTCAAGTAACCCACTGATTAAAATGTAATCAACATGAAGGCAGTGATCTTTGCTGTGTTCACTTAAGTATCCCAAGTGCTTACAACAGTTTCTGACATGTGGCAGGTGCTCAAAAAATATTTGTTGAATGAACGAATCTGTGAAAGGAAAAGAAAGGAAGAAAAACAGGTTGTGACTAGAATTTTCTTTGAACAAAACTTTGTTGTTTATTACATAGACTCTGATAATGGAAAACTTGCTTGGGTGAATAAAAATATGGCATCCTGTTAATTTCTGAGAAAGTCCGTTAGTTTTAGGAAAAGCATACCTAATCTGTGCCTCACTGCCTGTTTTACTCTAGCCTAAATTTAGTTTTTTCTTTGGATAGGAGACATTGACTTAACATGTAAGTTTAAAAGAGAAAAACTGAGAAGTAAGTGAAATCAAAAGCTTTTCAAAAGTTGCAAGTTGACCTAGGGTGGTGGTGGTCTAAAATCATACAGAAACCGGTGATCTGACGGTTTACCTGAAATTGCTAAGTACATAAACATGCTGGAAGCGTACAAGATGTTCTGGTGAAAGCTTAGTGGGCAGATGCACAGGGAGTTAATTTTAAGGACATCTTGGAAAATTAAGTAAAATCTCAAGTCTTTTTAAATATTATTTCTATTCTGGACATTTATATCTCACTAGAAAATTGCTTCCTACCAGACTGATGATAAAACTATGTCATTTTAAGGTGAACTGAAGTCCAGAAGCAATTAAGCATTTGGATACTTCGAGACCCCTCCCCCAACTCTTTCATGTTGCCATAACTGAAACTTTGGGGGCAATGCATTGTCTTTCTGAGTAACCTCAATTCACCAGTTTAATAAATGCAAAAGTCTGTGAGCATTTCAAACATATGGACAGACATTATTTGAGCCACAGTTTATAGCTCAAAGTATCCGAGGCGCGATTATTGCTAATTAATGAGTAGGATGTTCTCCAGGACTCTTCTCTAGGAAGGCAGGGCTTTCAGCAATAGCTGCGATTCCAAGGGTGCCCGCCACCCACCCACAATTCTACGATGTGGACAATTCCTCCGTTTTTGGTTACATGCTCTTCAAGTGAAGTCCCCCTCATCCAGATTCCCGCTCCTACACGCCCCCACTTCCCGTCCTAACCACATCGCAGTTGTTTAGCTGTTATTAGTTATTATCAACCGGCCTCCCGCAGGACCTGACGCTGAGGCGAGGTCCCCATTTCGCGCCTTGCCCTTTGCAGGAAACCTCCCCACATTAAGGTCCCCGAGGCCGCGCACGCCCGACTCGAGGTGCGCTCGTCCCGCGCAACGCAAGGTGGATCGCAGCGGGCGCTAGGGCCCCCAGCCTGGCCGCAGCAGACCCCCCAACACACGCTCCTTCTAGTCTTGGCCCTGGGGCTCTCCCGCGGCGCCCCAGTCTCCGCTCACAGCGCCCCCCTGGCCCCAACCCGGCAGGCGCTTTCGTACCCTCCCAGCCCCGCCCCAGGCTCCGCCCCAGCGGGCTTTTAAGCTTTATAAGTTCCTCTTTCCCACCTCCGATACTTAGTTTCACCAGTTGAACTTGGGACCCACTGCTGCCCTCAGCTCCGAGTTGGGGGCGAGGTAAGGCTTGGGATCGGGAAGGAGAACGGATGTGAGGCTGGCACAATAGAGAACCAGGAGCGCGAGACTAGAGGTCCGGGGGTCCATCTCGAGGGCAGCGCAGGGGACCCCAGCTTAGGACCCGAGAGGGAGCATACCCCTTGAAGGAGCCCCGACTCCCACTACGTCTGCTCTGGGCCCGGGGACCTTTGTGTGGGCTCTGTGGAGGGCCAGCCGGGACAATGCCCAAGCATTGCCCTCACCACCCTGTGGTTCGGCCCCGCCCAGGCCCGGGGAGGCCACGCGCTGGACGGGATGGGATAAAGAGGCTGTCAGGGCCCCAGGAGTGGCCAAGGCGGGGCCATCGGAAGGACCTACACAGTACGGCAGGCTTTCCTGAGGGAGGACAGCCTCTTACTCTAGAGGCTTCAATCCGAGGCTCCTTATCCTGCGGCCCTTAAGGGCCCAAACTCACCTTGGCCTCCCGCGCATTGCTCCCCGACTGGTGGTGGAGGAGGAGGAGCTCCGAATTTGGGCCACTTGGGGCCCCTGCGCTCTGCTGCCTCAACCCCGTGTCCTCTGAGAACCCTCCTGGCATCCTCCCGGCCTCCGCTCTCTCTCGCGGGCCTCCGGGGTCCGGCTGATGCTCTGCGCGCCAGAAACTCCCGCTATTCGGCTGCGCTCCTCGCCTCCGGCCAGCTCTCTGCCGCGTGTTGCTCCACCGCCCACTTAATCCTTGCTAGCTGGCCGAAGGCTCAGGGATTCTCTTGGGGCAGAGAGTGCAGGTATGGGAGAAGGCCCGAGCAGGAGTTGCTGATGCTGAGCACCTGGAACGTCCAGACCGCAGGCGTTCGTTCCCACGTGCGAGATTCTTGGCGCGCGGGGCCCACCAAAGGAGTGGGCAAGAGTGGTAACTGACAATGAAGGGAGAAATGTACTGGCAACGGTTTGGGAATGGGCAAAGAAGAGCGGGAACTAAGAGTGAGCACGCAAACGTGCCAAAGTGTGGTGGTGGCTGGATTTCGCAGTGTGCACAAAGGCAAGAGTTGTGTTGCCTGGGCAGCGTTTGGCCTGTGGGGTGTGTAACAAGAATGGAGAGTCCAGAAGGTGGGGTAGGAGGATGAACTCCGCGGGAGGCACGCTCGGGAGGCTGAGGACCGGGCGTGCCGAGGGGATGAGACTGGGCCAGCTGAGAAGGTGCTTTCTCTCAGGGGCCTTTGGCGACACCGACTTTTACAGAGCGCTCCTAGTTGTCTCGGAGACTCCAGGGCCTCGTGGTCATTGTCAGAAGGGTTTGAGAAGGGTGCTCCGAGCGCTGTGCTGGGGTGGCTAAAGGCTGGCCCTCCTCTCTGCCGCGCAGAGCGAGTGCAGGAGGCGGATCCTGGGCGCGTGAGGGCGACAGTCGGCGCGCTGGGCATGAACCTGGAGGGCAGCGGCCGAGGCGGAGAGTTCGGCATGAGCTCGGTGAGCTGCGGCAACGGGAAACTCCGCCAGTGGCTGATCGACCAGATCGACAGCGGCAAGTACCCAGGGCTGGTGTGGGAGAACGAGGAGAAGAGCATCTTCCGCATCCCCTGGAAGCACGCGGGCAAGCAAGACTACAACCGCGAGGAGGACGCCGCCCTCTTCAAGGTTACCTGGCACGAGGGCAGCCCAGCCAAAGTGGGGGTGGAGGGAAGGCCCCAGAGAGCTTGGTGGATCCCTAACCCAGACTCCGTGGCGATCCCAGTCCGCGCCTGGCGGTTCTCAGAGGAAAGGGGACCGCGAGGGAAGGACGGAATGGAATGAGCCCCGCAGGGCGGGCGGTCCGGGAGCATCAGGTGGCAATCCGTAGAAGCTGGGGGGAGGAGAGAGGTTTCAACCTTTGTAGTGTTTTTAGAAACGGGGGACCAGGTACCAATCCTGAACGTGTGGCATGAGCAGTACCAGGGGAGTCAGATGGCTCCAGCAGCAGGGAAATAGATATCTGGCAGAGAGAGCAGCGCTGACTTGAGTGTTCCTGTTTGCATTTATGTGGGTTCCTCTGTCTCCATCGGAGCCTCATTCTGTACCTCTGGATACCACCGTGCCTTCTTTGATCAACATGTGTCTCTCTTTGTCTCCCTGTTTCTTTTCTGTGAGCACCCTTAGGTGTGCTTGAGTTTGTCTCTGTTTTCCTGTCCCTCTCACTCACTACCTCTGTCTGTCTTTCTCTGTTTCACTGTTTTTCTCTGGAGGTCTTTCTCTCCGGATATTTTTCTTTTTCTTTAGTTCAATCTCTGTTGGGCTCTCTATCTTTCTAGCTCTCTCTGATCCATCCATACGTGTTTCTCACTATCTCTGTTTCTGTCTGATTCCCTCTTTCCAAGTCTCTCTCTAGACATTTTTCTCTAGCTCTCTCTCTCTCTCTCTCTGTGTGTGTGTGTGTGAGAGAGAGATGATTGTTTTCCCCTAGAGCAGTTTACCCAATGAACTGTGCATTAGGTTCTGCCCACCACCTGCGGCAGAACAGGCGAAGGGGACTTCCTCTGGAATTTGCTCTCAGAATATCTGACCATTCAGATGTACTCTATGGGTAGCAGCTCACCCCTAGTTCCAGTGGAACTCACTTCAGACACTGTGAGGGGAGGGGGTGGTTAGGGCCCCTTTCCAGGGACCCTCCCCATCTCACCTACCTCTTATAAATACCTAGAGAATGCTCAAACCGTTTGTTTTCAATTCAGCAAAGATAGAGTCCAACAGGGAAAGTATTTTACCTAGTGGAGACCTGGTGTCTTTCTGTCCCATGTTTTGAGCAACAATATAAATCTGAGGCACCTAAGCATCATTCTTTCCTTTAGAAATACAATCCTCGGGTTCTTTTTTTTTTTTTTAAGACCTATATTTTAACTTTTTTCCCCCGCTTCTTTCCCACAAGGCTTGGGCACTATTTAAAGGAAAGTTCCGAGAAGGCATAGATAAGCCAGACCCTCCTACCTGGAAGACCCGTTTGCGATGTGCTTTGAACAAGAGCAATGACTTTGAGGAACTGGTAGAGAGGAGCCAGCTGGACATCTCAGACCCCTACAAAGTGTACAGGATTGTTCCTGAGGGCGCAAAAAAAGGTGGGACTTCCTGGACTGGGGTCACAGAATATAGCCTGCCTTCCTCCTCCTGCCTCATGTTCAAGTCCAACAGACTCTTTGCTCAAATTCTCAGGGTCATAAATTGAAATTCTTGTGGTATTAGTGTAGGATGATTTCTCAGATTCCAACTCTCTACCTGTGGGTGTATGCACATGCATGTGTGTGCAGGTGTTTTTCAGTTAGTTCTATTGGTGTAAGATATGGGCCAAATTTTTCAAACAAAATATGGAAAATTTGTTCAGAGATTTATCTTTACTTATCAGTGTTTCATGATTAACCATTCTGTAGAAAGGAAGCATACCTATATCCATATATTGTTACTCTTTATAGTAATAAAAATGTCAACTTTTAGAGTATACTGTGGTCAGCTTGGAGGCTTTCTGAAATTCAGATCTTCTCTTTCCAAGTTTCTGACCAGTGTGTCAGAGTAGAGCCCAAGAATCTGCATTTAAAACAAACCATACAAATGACTTCACTTGTGGAACATCTTGCTGGTGGGGCCCTTTATGTGACAAAGTGCATTCACACACAGCATTTCATCTCCTTCTCTACCTGTCCTACACAAGTCAGACCTTATAGAAATCAGTTTAATGGCCTGAACAAGTAATTGCCCATGGGAATTGCTAAAAAAAAGTGCCTTATTTGTCAACACCGTTATGCATTCTAGGAATTAAACTCTCAGGTATTTTTCTAAGATTTCACTTTTAGTTATGACAGTTCCTTTTTTTCACACTTTACCATTTGCCTTTTGCCCAAACACATAGGAGCAAAGCAGCTCACCCTGGAGGACCCACAGATGACCATGAGCCACCCCTATACCATGACGGCTCCTTATACCTCACTCCCAGCTCAGGTATGGTGGAGGGTACAGGGCTTCTAGAAGGGGAGGCTGGGTCTGGGTGAGCCCACGTGAGCTGGCTAGTCCCACCTAGCAGGAAAAATATACAAACAAAACAGCAGTGCTTTGTTTTTGTTATTAGTCAATCAGCCAAACCAAATCCCCAATCTTAGGGTGAGTGTCTCACTTTCTACCTGGCGTTACTATCAGTGTTGGTTTTAAGGAGTGGAGAGGTGGACGTGTCTGCCTGCTAGCACGGACTTCTACTACTGATTCTGAAATCTGGTAAACAGATCTTTTGTGGAAGATGAAAATTTTGGAAGTAGTGCTTTATCATGTGAAACCACAGGGCAGCTGATCTCTTCAGATTTTTCTGATGTGAATTACAGCTCTGTTTTATTCGCTTTGGTGGGTAAAAGAAGGCAAATTTCCCTGCAGTACTTTTGGTGCCAGGTTTAACCATATGATGAAGCTTTACACAAATCATTACTTTATAACACTGTCTTCATTGTGCTTTTTGATTCTTTATGGCTACTTTCCACCTAGCGTGATGAGCTATTCACTCCAAAGTCTTTTGAGATGATAAAATGATTTGGCTGTCAGCCAAATAAAAGACTCTGTGAGGAGTCTGACTATAAAAGAATCTGCGCACCGCCCCCCTCCCCGGTGCCAACCAACTGATCTTTGCTGAGCTGGTTGCCTTTCATCTCAGCTGCTCCTTCATATTCCTTTAGCAGGTTCATAACTACATGATGCCACCCCATGACCGAACCTGGAGGGACTACGTCCCTGATCAGCCCCACCCAGAAATCCCGTATCAATGTCCTGTGACGTTTGGATCTCGCAGCCACCACTGGCAAGGTCCGGCTTGTGAAAATGGTAAGAAGCATGCTGGGGCTGGTTTTCATGGCTGCGGCTCACCCAGCAGAACAAACCTGGCCAAAGGGCCCTGGTCTCTCCTGATCTGTCCTTCTGGGCAGTACCCCAGTTCTTTCCCCTTCTCAGAGCTGCTAGGAAAGACCTCACCTGCAGTGAAGGACAGAGTGAAGGTCGTCAGGGGGAGGACTCCAGGGTTTACTGACTCCTGGCCTACTTGTGCCAGGACCTATGCTGGGAACTGCCTTACGTGAGATCTTATTTTTTTTTTAAATTTCATTTTGTTATATTAGTCACCATACATTACATCATTAGTTTTTGATGTCATGTTCCATGATTCATTGTTTGCGTATAATACCCAGTGCTCCATGCAATATATGCCCTCCTTAATACCCATCACTGGGCTAACCCATCCCCCCACCCCCCTCCCCTCTAGAACCCTCAGTTTGTTTCTCAGAGTCCATAGTCACATGAGATCTTATTTAAACATCACAGAAAGGGGTGCCTGGGTTGCTCAGTCAGTTAAGTGTCTGCCTTCGGCTCAGGTCATGGTCCCCGGGATCCCCCAGAGATTCCCCAGGGTCTGGGATTGAGAATCAGGCTCCCTGCTCAGTGGGGAGTCTGCTTCTCCTTCTCCTTCTGCACCCCCCACTCATGCTCTCTCTCTCTCAAGTAAATGAATAAAAAAAATAAACATCACAGGAAAAAATAAAGGGGGACACTAATCTCAAAATAAGTAAATAAATAAAAATAATAAAATAAACACCACAGAGATCCATCCCAAGCAACTAAAAACTGCCCCCCCTTTTTTGAGGCCAACTCAACAGAATGTAAGTAATGCTCAAAGTTACCCACTGGAAGTGAGGGGCTGGAGTTCAACCTCAGATCTCCTCTTTCATTTAAGACAGAGGATCTCAGATGTCAAACTGGTTGGCCATATTTTTTTTAATTATCTGTTTGATAGGTTAATACTTTTCATCCTCTCTGAATAATCTTTGGCAAGAAGGAATAGATTTTGTCAGTCTTCCCTCCTGGATTGTCCCTTAATGTTGTTTAGGCCAATAATCTCACTGGTCTGTTTCTTTCTACATATCTGTAAAATGGGCATCCCATAGCTGCGCCTAAACCTTCTCTCTATAGGAACATCAGAGGATTATTGACCTAGTATAGTTCTCTTAAACAAGTGTGCCCAAGGGGCACCTGGCTGGCTTAGTTGGTAGAGCATGCCACTCTTGATCTTGGGGTTGTGAGTTTGAGCCCCACATTGGGGGTAGAGTTCACTTAAAAAAACAACAACAATAGTGTAGTTATTTTGGGGGCTTAGAAATGATAGTAAGAATGGAATGAATAAATACTAAGAAAACAGTCTCCATAAGGTGACTAGGGCTGGTGTTGGGGTCCAAAGAGCTTTGTTCATTCTGGATTAGATGTGGTCCCATTCTCATAGGAGTTTCCCAGACATCAAAGTGATTTCACTCAGTGGAAGCACTAATCAGCTAAGCGCAAAGAAAACTTCATACAGTGTATCAAACACAGCAAAACACAAGCTTCTAGGACTTTTGAGTTAGGTATTTAAATAGAAATCCTGAGATGGGTCAAGACTCAGGTCCTTCTGTATGTTCTAGGAATATTTGGTTCTTCACAATTTGGTCAGTTCCCCTTTTTCAAATCATGTTCAGGTCACTTTTCGCTTTATGAAATTGACGAAGTATACCATCATTTAAAATTTGTTTTTAGTGTCATGTTTACAAAAAAGCTCAGAGTTTGGTTTTATTAGCTTTTCAAGAGTGATTTGCAACAGGGGTTACTTTCCATTCCATAGTGGAGGAGTTAGTTAACATTAAACTGGTTTCTGAAATTCAGACTTGTGTCTAATACATCAGGCTCTATTGAACTAAGAACCTTAGTAACAAGGCAATGCCTCCAACTATACAAAAAGATGGAATAGGTAGACATATTTTGAAGCATAGTTGACATTAAAAGTGCCACCAAAATTATGTTCTATTAGATATTCTTTCTCTATTACTGTTTAATGTGACCCACAGCTATTATGCTGCCAAAACACATGGTTCAATTTTCTTCCTGAAGCCAGAAATAGAAAGCTAAATAAATGTAGACTAAACAATTTGTAAGTTTTTAATTGGGCTCTTTGGCATCAGAACTCAGGTAAACCTGAGGTCACAGCTCTCCTGTCAACTTGCTGCGTGAACAAGGATAAATCTGTCTGAGCCTAAGTTATCCTGTTTATCAGGGTAATTATGGAGGGATGTTGCTCAAAGTGTACAAACTTCCAATTATAAGATGAATAAGTTCTGGGGATCTAAAGTACATGGTGACTGTATTTAGCAATTCTCTATTGTATTAAAAGTGGCTGAGAGAGCAGATCTTAAATATTCCCACTATACAACACACACACACACACACACGCACACACACGCACACACACACACAGTGGTAATTATGTGAGGTGATTAAGATGTTAACTAACTTAAAAAAAAAAAAGAAAGAAAAAATTATGGAGGGATTATTTCAAGTTTGCTTCCAAAGCTATGAAAAGGCTCCTTCCTCTTTCAATCTTGTTTTTTCTGATTGGACTTCAGCTTGTCTTTGTCCCTTGAGAATGCCACCGGTCAGTTCTAGAGGGCCCTTGGCCCTTTCCTTCCAGGGTTGGTGCACCCCTCAGGGGCTGAGTGGCCACATCCCAGAGAGAGGAGACCTTCCTATGTGTCGTCGGACAGATCTGTTTAGACATCATCTGATTCTTATTTACAAATGCAGGTTGCCAGGTGACAGGAACCTTTTATGCTTGTGCCCCGCCTGAGTCCCAGGCCCCTGGAATCCCCATAGAGCCAAGCATAAGGTCTGCTGAAGCCTTGGCGCTCTCAGGTGAGTGCAGTGTTCCCTTCTAGAGGCCCCCACAGGAGGCTGGCTTCTGCTGTGGCTCCACCCTCACCTTTGGGTATACTTGATTTGGTGGGGGTGGGGAATCCCTGAGCACAGTCCATGGGCACTGGCTTTCTTTCACCTGGGGACTAGAGTGGGTATGGACACATCTGACTCCCAACCTCTGTGAATGAGGATATCATTAGAATATTTAGCTCTAAGAAGCCAGCTTTTGATTCTGATGCCAATTCTAAATGCTGGTTTGAATTGAGTCATTTTAAAGTTTCCACTGACATCTATCTGAATTTCCAGGAATATGCAAGCACCTCAGCTTTATATATCAAGGGCCCCCTTCAGCCTACCTTTTCACAATGTAGTATAATTTCTTAGAAAAATACACAAGGTTTCTCATTTTGAAAAGCTGATCATCCTTCCAGGTTTAGCTACAAATAGGTCTTCCCCTCTGTCATCCTGAGGACAAGAGTTCTGGCTCCTTTCCATTCATATGCCTAAAAGTAGTGAGACTTGTGGTCAGTCTTCCTCTAAAATTTGATAGGTTTTGCAAAAAATTTGGGTTAGAGCTGATTTTTAAAGTTTCATTTCTAAAAGAATCCCTGCAAGCTCAAAGATCGTACCTGTTTTAAGGAAGGCACCTCAAGGTTTGCTAAGCATATGTGGTGTGTATATATTTATTTTTTAGATCATATTCTGGTTGTTTTAAAATGGGACTTATAATTACATTAAAAATGAATAGCTTAAGCCTCAGAATTCTCACCTTGCCCCTTGGGCTTTTTAAAAATCAATGATAGAAAGTATAAAGTAAATTCTCAAGGTTTCAGAGAGTTGTGGTCACCTTTCTTCCTTCCAGGTTCACCATTTATTTCTTTTCAGTTCTGAAGTTCTGAATGAGGCTTGCTGCCTCTCTTCTTAGATGCTCCTAAATGATGGAGGGGAGATGTTTCTGAAGAGAAAGCCTTGTGCTTGTTTTTAGAAACTTTCTAACCCTTCTCTTAAGCACCTAAGACCTGTGTAGGTGCCTGGAAAGTAGGAAATAAAAATCTATTTATGTCACTGTGACCTCGTGATTTCTGATGATGTTAAATGAAATGAAAGTCGCCTCAAATGGCCAACATTCACTGTCATCAAGTACACTGTCTGAGCTCACTCTCTGCTAGTGTGTTTACAACAGCAGAAATTGAAGTGGAGAATTGAGACAGTGATGTGGGTTGTCTAAGTCTCAAAACCTGCCGTTGAGGAATAAGAGGGTTTTGTGGGTTTCTTTTTTTGGTATGCATAATACAGATTAATTATCAACCTTGAGCACATTTGTTGGAGAACTGCAATTCCCATTCATTTTTAAATGCCATGCAGTTATGGATGGGTAGCTATTGCCTATACATGAAGCCCTTTTGCATTTCAGTTAAGGGGCCCTTTGCAAACCTAGCTTTGTCCTTTCAGTTTGTGGGTCCTATTCTGAAGAAAAACTTCATAAGTGAACTCATCTCGTTAAATGTTTTAGAAAGCACAGTTACTTTCAAGGCAGATTTTGAAAGCCTAGTGGGACTTTAGCCTTAGAACATTTTTTTCATTGATTCTTTTCTTTCCACATGAATTAATTTTATTATACAAGTAGTATATACACACATAGCATAAAAACTAATGTGACAATCAGAAAAGCAAAAAAGGAAAATAAAACATCACATTCCTACCACCCAGAGATCACCACTGTTAAAGTCTTAGGTGTTTATCTTTGCTGACACTTCAATGTGCTCTTGTATGTATGTATGTATATATATATTTTTTTCTAAGTAAGTGACATCATATTGATATTTTAGGGTAGTTTCCGATGCAAACATTTTGTTTATTTTTTGAAACACCAATATATTCTTTTTGCTAGTAGAAATTAAGCTTAGGGTTTACTTCCTCCAAAATCAAAACTGATTGTCATGCTTAAAGATGAATTTTGTTCAGTGGTACATGACTTAGTATTTTAGACATAACTGTTGTCATCATCGTTATAATCATCACCAAACAATGACATAAAATGTTCTTAACCAGTGGTGCTCTCTAATACAAGTCAAATATATTGTGCAGAAAACTAGTGTAAAGTGTGATCCCCCTCCACAAAAAAAAATCTATGGTCACACAAATTTGGAAAATGCTGAGTTAGACAACATTAAATAGATTTCTTGCAGGATTTCCTTAATATCTCTTACTGTCTATGACTCCATGAGGAAGATGAGGGTATGCAGCATTTCCTACACTTTCTTGACCCTGGAACTTTCTACTTTTTATGGAGTATTCCACCAAATACACATGTTCTGGTTGAATAGTTTGGCATCCTGATGTGTATCCAATTCTCCTTGGTCCCTTAGCACTGACCATGAAATCTCTGTGTTTACAGACTGCCGGCTCCACATCTGCTTGTACTACCGGGAGATCCTGGTGAAAGAGCTGACCACGTCTAGCCCAGAAGGCTGTCGGATCTCCCACGGGCACACCTATGATGCTAGTAACCTGGACCAGGTCCTTTTCCCCTACCCAGAGGACAATGGCCAGAGGAAAAACATCGAGAAACTTCTGAGCCACCTGGAAAGGGGTGTGGTCCTCTGGATGGCCCCCGATGGGCTTTATGCCAAAAGACTATGCCAGAGCAGGATCTACTGGGATGGGCCCCTGGCACTGTGCAGTGATCGGCCCAACAAACTGGAGAGGGACCAGACCTGCAAGCTCTTTGACACACAGCAGTTTTTAGCAGGTAATGTACCAAATTATCTGTTAGAATGGAGCATCCCACACCTGTGAGCCTAAGAGACAGAATGGAGGGGGTGACACTGTGCCTGCTACAGTGGTCCAAACAGAAGGTCACTCCCATCCCAGACAGAAGTCTTCCTTCTATTAATCCCTGAGCCTGCGTGATCTGAGAATAGGTTTCCTGTTTGTTCATCTCTCACCTCTGCCTCTACCATCTGCTCCTCTCCAAAAGCAAAAGGGTGTGAAGAGGAGGGAGATTGCTCAAGGGGTTTGTGGTTCAGGCTGATATCTTGAAATTCTGGTATTCAACAAATAGTCACAGACTAATAAGGTTTACACTTTAATGGCAGTATGATCTCAGCAAGCATGTCTGTTGATGTTTCAGCTTTTTTAGGGTTCCTAGGAAAATCATAAGGTTAGAAGTGTATTGTTAATATTCTTGGTTATGAGATGTGTTGCCCCTAAGCAGATGCTCTCCAGCAGGTGAGACCAAGGATAGAGTATGTGGAACTGATTTTGCAAAGGGGAAATTATGAGAAGGCTTTGAGTTATCTCTATGATATGCATGTTCCAAATAATATTTTCTAAAACCAATAAGTTTTGTTTTTCTAGTTTTGATTTCATGACAATTAAATTAGCCCCACACTGGCTTTTGTGAAACCACTGGCCACATTATTGTTGAAGCTTCACCCAGAGTATTCATTTGACTATCTATATTGATGATACCTCTTTTGGAGGGAGAAAGCTGCTCTGTCAGCTAACTGCCAACTCTTTCTGTACCTTATTCTGTACCTTATCCTTAAGCTATTCTTTTATAAGTGCCCCTTCAGAAACACTCTATGTCTTTGGGTTTTCATATGCCTCTCCTTTCCCTGAATATGCTTCCTGATTCAATTTATTTAAATTAAAAATATGAAGCATCTATGTGCTTTGACACCATTGACATTTGCTTAGCCTTTTGGGTTTAAGTTGCCCAAATTCGTGTAGGCTCATCCAAATTCTCTTTTGGTGCCCCGAAACAAATATGTCCTTATATGACTAACCCTTGACTAAGAGGTGTGACAAGAGGAAGAGGGAGAACTGAGCCTCTGGTTCTCCAAGGCAGCACCAAGGTGAGAAAGGCATGTGGGCCTGAACACCCCTCCCTCCCTCTGAGCTGCAGAACTGCCTCCAAATCTGCGCCATGACTGTTTTGTCCATTCTGGGGTCCAGTGTGGTAATCATGGTGGGCACCCCAGGAAGAGTCAGGAGCTACTGAGGGGCATCTTGTGTGCACCTCTTATATCTGCAAAAGCGTCTGAAAGGGTCCACAGGGGTTTGGATCACCTCAGAGACTATGAATCTTGGTCTCTTTGGATTCAGAAGCCACAGGGCTAGGGCTTTAGTTAAGGTATCCCAGGGGAATGACACTTGCTTCTGTGAGTTTCTCTCACTATGTATGTTTTAGGAAGTTCGAATCCTACCATTCTAAGTAGGCTATAAGTTACACTTTGAGTCACAGTCACTGAGAGCTGGATACAGGCAAAAAACAGAAAGGCATGATGCACCGGCTATGAACATCTGCAGGTTGTGAATTCACTTGCCTAGAATTTAATATTTATCTGTGAGCAAGAGTTGTTTTTTTTTCTTCCTCAACCCAAGGGCTGTGCTTTTTGCTCACTGCAACCTCTTATCTTGAAGTATTCACTGAGGTTCAAGGAGGAACCTGTGAACTTAAAAAACTGCAGCTGTGTAAACCAGCTTCTGCATAATCAAGGATTCCCACAGAATGTTCTCATGTTATCAAGCATTTGAGACATGACTTTTTCGGAGAATTGTGCCAACTCGCCACTCTGATTAGCTTGTGTAGGTGTAGTCTCAGACCTCAGTAGTGTGAACGCCTTTTACACATTCTGACTAAGTCAGTTAGGTTTGATTTGAATTCTGGAAGAAAAAAAAAAGCAGGAAGTCGAACAGTCCAGTGAGTTAGTTAGAAACTTTTCTTCAGTTGAAGAGAACAGTGAAGATCTTTGATATCTCCCCATTCAGGATTTGCAAACTACTAGGGACAGCCCCTAAAGGCAAAGCCCAAGGGTGCATATCTGATCAAGATGCCTGTGCATACTGTTCTGCAGAAGTTGTATCAGCAACCATGTGTGTTTCTTTTGTGGACATGACATTTAACTCTAGTGGAAAGGAAAGAATAGGAGCAGCCAGAGGCTTAAGAGTCATCTTGAATATGGGCAAAGGGACATGGATCAATGTCAGGGATTACACATGTGTCTTTCCAACAGTCTTTGTTCTGCATCTTTAGGGTAGGAATGGTGCCTTCAGGATAAACATATCCACAAATGTGGGGACCCCTGGTGTTTCATCGCTACCTTTTTCATTTCAAATCAATACCCGTCCCACAAGATGGACGAGAAGTCAGCTCAAAGTCCCATAGTTTAGGCTTAGTACCAAGTAGGAGACAGCTGGTGCTCAGTCTCCAAGATAACAGTAAAGCATTTTCAGTGATGCCTGAATCATGGAAAGGTCCTGAGTGGCACAGATATTGGATTATGAGGACTCAGCAGTTTTGACATAACATTTTGAAGTAATCAGAAAATTTTGATTTTTTAAATGAAATTTCTCCTTTGTATAAATTATTCTTTTACCTCAACATGGCTGCATTTCTTTTCCTTTTTCTTCATCCTTCACTCCTTTCTGCTACCCTTTGCACTCTCATGGGTCCAGTGCAGCAGATCAAGGTTTCTTAATCTGCTGGGCATATTTCCCTTAAAGAATCAAGTGAGGGGCACTTGGGTGGCTCAGCTTGTTAAGCATCTGCCTTCACCTTGTGTCCTGGGATCGAGCCCTGTCTTGGGCTCCCTGCTCAGTGGGGAGCCTGCTTCTCCCTCTCCCTACTCGAGCTTTCTCTCTCATTCTCTCTCTCTCTCTCTCAAATAAATAAAATTTAAAAAAAAGAATCAAGTGAAACCTGGAGCCTTCTCAGGAAAAGCACACCTATGAACATATACATGCAATTCTATATCTGGGGTCTAAAGTTAAGAACCCCACTTAGAGAAATAAAGAATACTCACTCCTATTTTAGTTTTCCAAATCAACAGTGAGCTTTTGCTTCCTGCTTTAACCTGGCATGTTCAATGATGGTTTCTGATCAGGATTTTGTTTTGTTTTGTTTTTCTCATGGGGCTTCTCCAGAGCTGCAAGCTTTTGCTCACCATGGCCGTCCCCTGCCAAGATTCCAGGTAACTTTGTGCTTCGGGGAAGAATTTCCAGATCCTCAGAGGCAAAGGAAGCTCATCACTGCTCACGTGAGTATTTAGTTACATTCAAATGATTGAGTTTCCTTGTTTTTCATCAAGGGCGGGGTCTCAGAAAAGTCTCAAATGAAAAGTATATGTCAAGTGACAGGAAAATCATGAAGGAGGAAGCATGGCCCAGTGAACGGTGCAGGAAGCATAGCCCAGGGACCCACATGTTTTTCCCAGCTCTAGAGGTCTACTCATCACAAACCTGCAACCCTGGGCTTTATTCATCCCATCTTATGTATAGATCAAGACGTTGTCCTATTCCCATTTTTTTAAAATAATTTTTTATTGTTATGTTAACCACCATACATTATTACATCATTAGTTTTTGATGCAGTGTTCCATGATTCATTGTTTGTGCATAACACCCAGTGCTCCACGCAGAATGTGAGTCCTATTCCCATTTTATAAGGATTTAAAAGGACTAGTGATAAAAGTTGCCCTTTAAAATTTTCCATATTTAATATTGCTTTTAAAATGCTGTCTAGCTGACCTTCACTTGATGGAGAAGCTTTTCCCAAATGGGAAGCTGTCCATTGACCTATGTATTTTGCAGTCCCCCCAAATTTTTCCCAAGTCCTCTTTTATTTCTGGATTTTTAGAAATTACTTAACTAATGGAAACCAAGGGTCATGTGTTATTTGGAGGAGGTTAACTCTGTCAAGAAATTTAAGTAGATCAGTGTTCTCTAGCAGAGTTTAAAAAAGGGTCAACTGTAGCACGTAAACATCTTTTTTATAAAAAGTTTGTAAAGATAACATTTGGAATAAATTTGCCACAGAAAACAAAGTTTTGAATACCCAAGATTTTCAATTTGAAAACTTTACATTGCTACATACCTTTGAGAGTTAATAATGGGCCTAGACGAAAGCAGTAACAGGTAAGAAAAAAATCAGTCTGACCCCAGAAAGTGTTCCACTTTGGGAGATGTTAGGAATCAATCCACTGGCTGTGTGGAGACCTACCCTGGGGCCCGAGTTGAGGGTGAGCTCTAGGGTGAAGCTCAGGGTTAGGGTTTGGTTTGAATAGAAGCATTCGGGTCATATTTTAGTTCTCATAATGTTTTTTATTGATAACTGAAATAAAACACTATCTAATTTTAAACACACAGTCCCCCCCCTTGATTATAAAATCAAAAACCAACCAACCAAAAGACTTTAGAGCTTTTTCTTGAATTCTCTCCAGTAATTGATATAACAATTGATATCTTCTTAACACCTAGGATTGTTAAATGACTAAATAAACTTGGTATTGATAAATAATGTTTTGAAAGTTGGTGAAAAACTCCTGCATCAGTCTGACTTTAAGGGTTTTTTGGGTGCACTAGCCCTCCTCTGAGTTAGGCAACTATGTGTTCCTCAAGCAAGGGTCCCTGGAATCGAGTTGTCTGGGATGGAAAAGAAAAACTGATATGTGTACACCCAGGAGTTCCTACTCCCTTTTATTATGGATTTAATTTATTTCAGGTATTTCATATGAATTATGCTTAAGTTTCTATATATCAAGTAACATAAAGGCTCAATTTAATAGCAGAATTGTTTAACAAAGTATTCAATTTTCTTAGATGCTGTAAATTAAGGAAATTCTGAAAGCTGAATTTATTTTAGTGAATATGAACCACATAAATAGCCAAACTAGATCAACTTGAGGTCAATTAACCTCTCTTTCCCCATAATAACAGTGTTGTTGTTTGTACAGATTTTGCTCCTTCCTTTTTCCTTTATCTTAGAAATATACAGATTATCTAGGTCATCCAGGAATTGTAAATTGTTCAGGATTTACACCCTCATCCCTGTCAAACTGTGGTTGTGGAAAAATTCATTGGCCTAAATTATTCTGAGTTACCTCAAACTTCATTAATCACCTCAAACTTCCTTTTAATTTGGTCATTTTACCTGATTTGCTTATGCTTAGTTAAACATAAATTTTAAGCAGCTATTAATTTAAAAATACCACCTTTGACTTTAACTATAGTAAAAACTCAGAATTAAGTAGAGTCGGTTTTTAGGTTGGTATATGTAAGGGCTAACAAAAAATTGCATCTTCAGAACGTTTTGATTTGTATAGCACCTAACCTTGGATTTAACTTTACCATATCTTCAGATATTGAGTTATTTAATGATAAGCCATTTACAGGATGTTAAAAAGAATATTTCAAAAATATCTTTTTAAAATCTCTTATTAAAGGTCGAACCTCTACTAGCCAGACAACTATATTATTTTGCTCAGCAAAACAGTGGACATTTCCTGAGGAGCTATGATTTACCTGAACACATTAGCAGTCCAGAGGATTATCACAGATCTATTCGCCACTCCTCCATTCAAGAATGAAAAATGTCAAGACAAGTGATTTTGTTTCATTGTAAATATCTGACTTTGACAGGAACAGCTGACTGAACTCCCTCTTTTTCTTTTGAGAAACTTGGAAATTGGGGCTTCAATTCAACACTTGAGGAGAATCTCAGCAAGAATGAGTGTAAAAAAACCAGCTCCATCTAATTGACAGATGAGCTTATTCCAAAAGGAAGGACAGTTTTCAGGGTCTTCCGTAGACTGTCATCTTTGATGATTACTGTGAAAATTGACCAAAGGGTGTGTTTACATTTACTCAAATGCTATCTTTAATTTGATGTGGATTATTTCTTGCTTGAAAACTGAGAAAACTTGTGTTTCAGTATTGACCACTAACTAGAGGGATAAAAGCACATAAGTGTTGTACTATTTCTCAGGGAAATAATATCTAAATTTGAGGTGACTCTGCCCACAAAAGAAATGTATCAATGCACATAGAAGATGTTGCTCTTGTAGAAAATGCTTGCTGTTAGAAAGAGAAGCTTTGACTGAGGTTGGACCACAGAGCCTCTAGCTTTGGGGTGGCTGATCACCCCACCTGGCCTGGGTCTCACCCCAGCACAGACTTCCCTGCCCTGTCTCACACTGCCTCCCATTTGCTCTCTCTCCTTGGGTGCCCCTGGAAGCCAGTTGGTATTTTCTGGAACCAAAAAGCATTAGGACTACCCTTGATTAGCATATTTTTGTCAGTCCTACAATCTTTTAATGACTGCTTAAGATATTTTTTGTTTGTCTTTTTGTCTCTCATTCTGTAGAAATTGTTGTTAAAACTTTTTTCTTAAAAAAGAAAAAAAGATCAACAATCCAAGTACTAAAGATATATTTTTGAAACTTGGTGACATTTCCCCTCTTACCCTGTTTGTTTTGTTTGGCTATCAGTTAGTTATCCATGACAACACTAAAGAGGAGGAGCTGATGCTTTTCAATTTGGTGAACTCTGTTAGGAAAGATGATGACAGGATTTCACTGATTGCATAACTGCAGACTCAGTGGACTGTTTTTGCTTATTTTGTATATTATATGCTTCCTCATGCCAGTATGGTTTAACAGGGCCTTAAAATTACTGGGTTTTTTCCAAATACATCTTTTTATAGAATCACTAAGATCTCTACTTGCTTAACTAAACCTGATCACTTCCTTGTTGATTGTTTTGGAAAAGTACAGATGTTTAGACTGAGGCTGGCAACTGATATTTTTATCATACTACAAAAAAACTGCTATTACTTTCAGCCTCAGCAAGAGACTTAGTAGTTCTCAAATATATGCCACTTTTTTTTATTATGTTATGTTATGTTAGTCACCATGCAATACATCATTAGTTTTTGATGTGGTGATCCACGATTCATTGTTTTCGTATAACACCCAGTGCTCCATGCAGAACGTGCCTCCCTAACACCCATCACCCGGCTAACCAATCCCCCCTCCCCTCTAAAACCCTGTTTGTTTCTCAGAGCCCATAGTCTCTCATGGTTCATCTCTCCCTCTGATTTCCCTCCCTTCATTTTTCCCTTCCTTCTCCTAATGTCCTCCATGCTATTCCTTATGTTTCACAAATAAGTGAAACCATATGATAATTGACTTTCTCTGCTTGATTTATTTCACTTAGCATAATCTCTTATTCTAATCTATATTTTTAAATTCATTCAACAAACTGTATCCTTTGCATTAGACAGATTTTATATAGCCTTTATCCAGTTTAGTAAGCAATGGAACATTGGAATGTTATTTTTTTAACTTCTAAAAGGAGTTTTTTTTTTTTAAAGAATTTTATTTATTTACTTGAGAGAAAGAGCAAACGAGAGAGAGAGCACGAGCAGGGAGGAGGGGCAGAGGGAGAGGGAGAAGCAGGCTCCCCGCTGAGCAGGGAGCCCAATGTGGGACTTGATCCCAGGACCCCAGGATCATGACCTGAGCAGAAGGTAGACGCTTAACTGACTGAGCCACCCAGGCGCCCCAAGGAGTTTTTAATGATAGCATAATACATATTAAAGACAGAAAATGTAAATAATATAGACAGGCAAAAATTAAGCAACATCCTCTTTCTTTTTCCCAGCCCAAATCCTGCTCCCTTGAAATATCCACAAGAAGAGTTTGACTTATTCTTCCAATACACTTCACTTCTCTATAGATATACATCAGCTCAAAAAAACCTCATAGGATCATCTTGCAGCCACTTTCACGCAGTGCTCTCTTAACCTAACAATACAGATTTACCTCACTCTTTTTAGAGGCATTGTCGTTGTAGAACTCCACCGCCATGCAGTCCATAGCACAGGTTAAGGAATTTCATCAGCCGCTAAAAGTGAATACGCATGGGCAGCAGATTATATTTTGTGAATTGCAGTAATTTATACATCTTATAGATGCAAAGTATTTTAGGGTATATTATCCTAAGGGGGATTTGAAAACAAAATTAGAACCACTGTGACACAGGCCCCAGTGTATGTGGCCCTCTTCCTTGGAGAATATTTAACCCCATGCCAGCGCTTCAGAGTTCTCTGTGTCAGTCCCAGGGGTGCTGTGTCTTCTGAATTCTCAAAGTAGATGCTTGATTTCTATTGCTGTTGCAAATTCTTTTCTTTCTTCTTTCTTTTTTAATATTAAGCTGCTTTAACACTGGAGTTACATTTTCTGGAAAATACTCTTGGCTTGGGCCACTTCCCCCTTTCTCATCTTTAGTCCCATATACTTTGACTTTTTTTTTTTTTAATTTGGAGGAATCCAGACTATGAGCTAGTGAATGAATTATGAAATAATCAGGGTAAAGAATCCTGACAGCTATCTCAGGATTTTGAAAATGAATGATTGCCTCATTCCTTGACTTGATAAAGTAGAATTTAGTTTGTTCTCAATTGAAGATATGATAGAAGAGTTTAGACATTTATTATGCTAAAAAGCTTTAGACAGCAAGGTTAAAAAATGTGTAAGTCTCACAGGTGCATGTTCTAATGGCTTGTTTCTTGTTCTTTGGATTTAATAAAACAGTGGGCGGTTGTTGATGTCTTCTGGAACACTGTAAAGAACCAGGGTGACCAACCCATTTAAAACCCAAACCTTGGAACCCCCTCAGTCCCAGGCAAAACAGGACAGTTATCGCCCTATAGACAACCCAGCAAGACTGTTGCCTGGAGCTAGGAAGACACTGTTCCATTGAGAGATAAAATTTAAAATCCTGCATGGAATAAGCCACATGACAATATGGTTATCACTAAAGCACGGATATGCCCAGGTTTGTGTTTAGAAAAAGACACACACTGGGCTAAGGTATGAACAAGGTTTTCTTTGCATGTCACTGTGTGTAAACCCCAGAGTTGTTCCAACTCTGGGGGTCTTGGTGCAGGGTCTGGCATGGGCTTTTGCCTGAGAGGCTGAGCAATAGGTGGACATGCATCCCCAGAGAATCCTTGCTTATGTGTTGGCTGTACCAGTGAACATCAATTTTTTTTCTAGCAAATATTTTTTTAGTTCAGACTCCATTTCATTCCTCCTTGATCACATTTCTCCCCTTTCTCCACAGGTAAATGTTTTCCTGGAAGTGGTGAGCTTCCTTAAAGTCTATATTTTTACTATATATCTCCCTAGTTTATAGCTGACTGGCATCTATTTAAATGTTGCATTAGGGCTGTCCTGCCATATGCATTGTTCTGCAACTTACTTTTCTCATAGCTCCATCTTTGAGATTGATCAATGTCAATGTAGGTGGGTCTCATCCATCTCTTGCTAACGGGTGTCAAATAGCTTGTCACATGAATGCAGTGAAGGTCGATTTTCCTGGTATTTATTTTCACTGCCTTTAGGAAAGCACGTAGGTGAAGTGTAGTTGAAGTGAAGGAAAAGAAAGGTGGGATGTGGACAAGAACCAAAAGTCCAGCAGGCCAATCCTCCTCCAGTATAAACTCATGTTTTGCTTTAGACTCTGAGATGGAAGGAACCTAATGGGTAGTGGGATTCATTTCCCTGCACTCCATCGGTTGTACATAATAGTGTCATGAATTTTGGTGTAAATTGCTTTTCAAAAGATTGATATTCATGACAATCTGGTGTTTTATGTAGTTGTTAAATAAAGACTTTTTAAAAAATTAATCTGTTATGAGCTGTGTGTGTTATTAAACACTCATCTTGATAGCTTTTAAAATACTTCCTCCTTCTGTTGTGTTCTTTCAGAGAGGTTGCTTCGGCAGCCTGCTTCCTTCCTGGTTGTCATACGCGTCCGTAAAATCAGATCTCAAAGTGCTCTGCTAGTTTTAAAAAAAATAGCAAAACTTGTCCCAGCATAGGGCAGTTTCTCCAGCCCACGGAAACACATCTAAGGAGAGTACTGAACAATCCTTTCTCCTTCTTCTTCCTTGTGTGTTTTAAAAGGTCCAGGAGACCCAAAGAAATTGTTAATGTTTCCTTTTATATTCATAGCTTCTTTGATTTTGTCGTTGTTGTTAAAGAGGAGGGGATGTAGGTTAACCAGCATCCGGAATGTGAAATATAACATAAAACTCTGTGTAGTAAAAGAGCCTGTCAACTGCTTACAAGTCTAGTGGGAACACTAGAAGGACAGGGCTGCAGCTTGTGGTGTTAAAAACCTTGCAGCCAAAGACTTCGTGGAACTGTGAGAAATGTTTGTAATCTGTGTCTAGGAGCCCCAGAATATTAGCTTAGAATAATTTTGAAATTTTAAAGTGGTAATCAAATAAATCTAGTGGGAATATAAGCTATCATACTGCTTTTGGGGGCTTCATCTGCTCAACAAGTGTGGATGAACTTGAGTCAGTATATATAAGCAAATTTTTTCAAATAGTATATTGACTCTTATGTCTAAAAAAGAATTTCAAAGAGATTTTTTAAAAAAGATTTTATTTATTTATTTGACAGAGAGAGAGAGAGAGAGAGCACAAGTAGGCAGAGTGGCAGGCAGATGAAGAGGGAGAAACAGGCTCTCCGCTGAGTGGGGAGCTAGATGTGGGGCTCGATCCCAAGACCCCAGGATCATGACCTGAGCCGAAGGCAGCCGC